ATATAGTTGGCACAAATGCGATTTCTGTGTAAAAATATGTTGAAAGCATCTTTTGAAAAAAAACTAACATCCTGGTGAAAAAAAACTGGTGAAAGCTGAACTCAAACTCTGGTGAAGCTGCCTTACACGACCTCGTCTTAAGGTGTAATGGCGTGACTGTCATCGCCCGTGACGAGCTTACCAAATAATTCTATATGATAAAATCAATAAGGAGCAACATTCTTGACAATTCTCAAATTTATTTTCCTGGAAACATCCCAACGAGGCCGGATGCAGTGTCATCTATGTCACACAGAACATCAGTTTTTGATTTCACAGACGGCGCCAGAAAGTAGCTGGAACAAACCTCTCATCTCATAGCGCTTCTCCTTTCTAAATTTTTGTGATCTAAGTTTTTGATTTACGATCGAAGAGTATTTCTGAAGTTTCGAAGTTTCCTAGTTCATCAACTGGTTATTTTGGCGTGTAAGGCTTTGAGTATATCGAGAGCAGAGCAGAGCTGGCCACGTGCTAAATGAGCTCATTGATCATCTAGCATCTTAAGGATTATTTATACAGCTACGAGTACAATCAGTACAACGTCCACCTTCGAAACGAGTGTGTTAAGGCATTGCATCGGCAGAAAAATATCGGAATGGCTTCAAAAATTGCTTATTTTGTCGTATTTTTCATTGGTCTACGCTTCGGTTTTAATGCAGGTAAGATGGCTTCTGTTTCTACTACAACCTCATCCATTCTTATCGCTTTCAATGTTTCTGCATTGCATAATTTTTTTTTTTTTTTTTGCTTGAACCTGCCAGTGAGTTCGGTCGTTTTAAGTCGAGAAAGTTGTCTGTTGTTTTTTTAAAGGTGGCCTTTTCATCTCCGGAGGTGAGGGACTTTTGTGATAGAAAATGTAGAATCGATAAAGAGGCTTTTCCAGAGCGATATCGCTTTTCCAGTTTTGATTTCCACAGGACAGAATACAAACAACTGAAAAATATCCGGACTACTTTCTTTAAAAAAAAACAGTGATCAGATGGCAAACTGGCGTCTCTCTTTTAAGTTCATCCATCCCAATAAGAAGTAGAATTTTCCAGTTGTTTTTTTTCTCGACCGCACGAATAATTTGACAGATGCTGTAAGTTGCACAGTCAGCTATTGCGACAGACACTTCTAAAATGAGAGCCCATTTCACAACAGAGGAGGACCACTATCGCATTATGCTTTTGTTATTTATTCACGAACACCACAGAGATTAGGCATTTTGAATGTATGTGTACTTTTTCCATAAATCAATCGGAGTCCCCTGTCTTCGTGAAGACCCCTCATTGCTTTTTAAGTAACGGAAAGGTTCTTTATTCCGCGTGAAACAAATAAAATAGAAAACGCCAGTGCATGCTCGTCATCGAATCAGCAGGTTTTCTTCCATAATCTTAACTCATATGAAGCATATAAATATAGGAATCGTCAAACGTGTGGCGGGCAAATGAATTTGTCCGTGGGTGAGTATTTACCTCAAAATTTCTCGTGTTAGTTCTTACCATTCATAGCGGCGTTAGTCATTTGTCTGAAAAGTCACTTTCAGTTTGAAATTATATGCCATAAAATACACATTCTCGCCAATTTTTATTCGTACATTAAAAAAAGGCGTTCGATTTGAAGACATACAGAGAGGGTTGATTTTATCAAAATATTTATAATGATAATCATGAGTTGTATTGTATGAATGCTAATCGCCCTAAAAGCTTTTTCACGAGATTCGCGATACAATTTATGTAGTCACCCAGTTTTTGCATTCAAGGCGTAAAGCTTTAATGTCCATGAAACTTATTCCGGATAATAATAACATGATAAATCTCTCCCTTTTCTTAGATTCCATCTCCTCAAGAGGTTTACAATCTCTTTCAAATTATTTTGGTCGAATATTTCAACCTAACGAGCCACATTTCTTAGATTTGGACCGAAATTTTTTGTTGAGCAGATCATGTCCTAATTATAGCAGTTAATTTTATCTCAGTGGGAGAACGTCCACAAGAGTCAGAGAATTAATCCCCCTTTCGACTTTATCTTCGTTATCCTTTCCTTTTTAGCCCACGCCCGAAACAAATAAAAATTCAATGTCCATGTTATCCATTGCAGTTAAAAATTTCTACCAACTGTTTTTACCGCTATGTACGTCGCGCACTAAATTTCACTCGTTTCGTGTTTTGGAGGAGCACGCGATACGTGAGAGGAATTTTGGCTCATTTTCCGCCGGCAGTTTTCCGAGAAACTCAGTATTTATAAAATTCTCAGAAGATAAAAGGCGGATCTGTTGTGTCCTTTTATGGTTAAATGATGCATGTGATGACAGTTGTCTGACGGGATCTCATGTGAATCTCTTAACAAACCGTATTATTTTGTCTCCGCGTTACTGACCTCGTCAGCTGTGAAACTGTAGATATTATTTGCATGAAAACATTTGCTATCGTTCCGAATTTGATAACCTTTAAAGGCCTTTTAGTCGGCTTACACACAAATTGAAATTGCTTTTTAAATAAACTCCTCCCTGAATATTTCTGTTTTCATTCCGGCCGAAATTGACAAATGTGTAAATGTCTTCTGACTTAGGTCTGATTCACCTTCGCTTTTCGACTTGGTTGTAAACCTCAAGGCTCTTCAAGGGCCCATTGTTTGAGAGAGACGCAGCACTAACCCAGGATTACAATTCAAAACTGGGTATGACTTATCTGAGTCGCATAAAGTTTTCGTCAACTGTTAAAGGTAGCGCAATGTCGTGTTTTCGAGTAAAGATTGACGGCTGTACATTGATTAAAGTAAAAGGACTAAGATCTAATTACATAAACATGTGTAATATGTAAACTCTTCGCTGTAACGCTGATATTTTCAAATCCTTGTTGTTTTTTTGAGATTGTTAATGATTATTACTGATTTTGAGACTGTTTTTTGGGAACATATTCTTATGATTTTAAAGTATATTCAGGGGTAAAAATATAGGTTTCTTCCAGATCAATTCAGCATCAAAAGATGGTATTTCTAACTTAGAACTGTTGACTTACAATGCTGATGTCTTTTCACATACAGGGGCTTTAGGAAACAGCACCGGAACGACCTCGCTCCCTTGTACCTCAGCTACTACGTTGCAAAGGGCACAATCAGTAGTTGTTTCAGCTACGACGACAGAGAAATCATCACCATCAGTTTCAGTCACTAGGTATGCTTCCACGTCATATCAAAACGCAAAACTGTCGAATGCATCAACTATGTCACTCAGACAGTCGACAAGCACATGGAGTTTGGAATCAAGTAACACAACTCATAACCCATCATTACCAGCTTCGTCACTGCCGAATATTTCAGCCACAATTCTGGACGAGTCAAAAAGCACGCCAGTATTATATTCATGTACTGTCGTGTATTCTTTAGCATGCGCAGCCTTGTCGAATGTCTCAACTTCTACCATGACACGGAAACAATCGAACAGTACAACAACACTACATTCTGGTAATATTACAACTACGACGA